GGCTGGGACATATTAAATGGTTGAATTATCTTGGTCACTATAAAGCAAGTCTAGTGTGGCCTGCATGTATAGCATATCAGCTACTTCACTTTGCATGCAAAGGACAGGACAGTTCCCCTCCTCAGGATAAACAAACTTTCTAGCCACTTTCATTCATTGTACCAGGCTAACACTCTTGTTTGGGTTAGTCACTGCCATTAAGGACTGTCAGTAGTGAGCTGTGGGTCCTGCATTAATGCAAACATGTCATGATCTTCAAACCATAGACTGCTTCTTAACCATTCTTATGGGCCATATTAATACAGGTTTTTTAGGGAGCTAGCTTGAGCCACTAAATGAGACAACTTTTACGCTATATCCCCTGGTTTTAGTAGTTTCCTGATTTTTTTTTTTTTCTCCTTGCCACCTGAATCATTTTGGTAAGCAGCTGTAAATCTACTGTTCAGCATGATTTTTCTCTTTTGTGTTGGTTTTGAGGTTAGCAGCTTGATAATGCATTGGATCAGTTGGAATCTGGGTCTGTGTAACATCACAGTTCACCCTAAAAGTGTCTTTAGCTTTCTGTTCTAGGTACTATGCTAACAATAGCCAGGAATTGTGCATTTAGCCAGTTTCTCATTTTGCATTTTATTGTGGATTCAGTGACTAAACTCCTGGGATTAGATCTGTCATTGCTAGGTTTCATTTACTTTTACAAACTCCTGTAACAGATGGCAACATGCCTGCTGTTTAATACTCCAGGTAATTTGGTAGATACCTAGCATTAGGGTTTTATCATCCTCTAACCCCTTCTTTATTTTTTTCCCCAAATAATGCTTTAGCAATATTACAGTGAGTCTAGGATCATGCTAGTGAACTTGAGGGTGGGTCTGATAACAGATTAAGAGTCATGATACCACTTTTTTAACCTGTTCTGCCATTGTGTAACTTTGGATAAGGAAGGGAACTTATCTAGGCCATAGTGTTCTCATTCTACAAATTGATCATTTCCAGGGTATTTTACAATCAGTCTGTGCATAAGCAAACATTTATTGGATATGTCTATGTTCTAGGCTGTTGTTTCTCAACCCTTTTAATAATTACTCTCTAAACAGAAAGCTTAAATTAATTAAAAATTTTATTGATTTTTACCTAACAGAAATTATGTACCAAAGAATAGGATTTTGTACGGTTGAGTTTTGATGGTCCACAAACTATTGTAATACCTAAGATTTTTTTTTGCTCCTTTGGTGGTGATATCTGTATGCATGTAATGCATGTAATAGGCTAAGAAATTTCATTTCATTTCATATATATATATGTATCTTTTGACTTAGGATGTTGTTACATCCTAATATCCATTGTAAGTCAAAATATCCTAAATCGAAAATGCATTTTACACATATAACCTACTGCACATCATTAGCTTAGTCTAGCCTATCTTAAGTATGCCAAGACCACTGATACTTGCTTACAGTTGGGCAAAATCATCTAACACAAAGCGTATTTTATAATAAAGTGTTGAATATTTTACATAATTTATTGAATATTGTACTGTAAGTGAAAAACAGAATGGTTGTATGGGTACAGAGTGGTTCTAAGTGTATCGGTTGTTTACTCTCATGATGGTATGGTTTGCTTGAGAGCTGCAGCTGTTGCTGCCTATCATCAAGAGAGAGGATCATACTGCATAGTGCCAGCCCTAAATTCATACTCAAAGTATGGTTTCTACTGAATATGTATCGCTTTTACACCATTGGAAAGTTGGAAAATTGTAAGTCAGACCATCGTAAGCTGGGGACCATCTTTATATCTTTATTTATATCTGTATCTCCTCAAAATACTAAGGTAGAAGGCGCCTGCCTGGGTGGCTCATTCGGTTAAGTGTCTGCCTTTGACTCAGGTCATGATCCCAGGGTTCTGGGATTGAGTCCCAAATCAGGCTCCCCGCTTGGTGGGGAGTCTGCTTCTCCCTCTGTCCCTCCCCCCACTCATGTGCATGTGTGCGTGCACGCTCGCTCTCTCAGAAATAAAATCTTTAAAAAAAATTAAAAAAAAATACTAAGGTAGAAATTAGAAGGACCTGTATATTTCTTTTCAGTTTTTTTTTTTTTTTAAGATTTTATTTATTTGACGGAGAGAGACATAGCGAGAGAGGGAACACAAGCAGGGGGAGTGGGAGAGGAAGAAGCAGGCTTCCTGTGGAGCAGGGAGCCCAATGCGGGGCTCCATCCCAGGACCCTGGGATCATGACCTGAGCCAAAGGCAGATACTTAATGACTGAGCCACCCAGGCGCCCCTCTTTTCAGTTTGAAAAACCATAAAGCTTTGGGGAATTTTCTCTAAGATTACCATGAGTTGAAGGTAATGAGAAGATTCCATGAAAGTACATTCTTCCTGATCTGAATATTACATTAACTCTTTTTAATAAAAATCTATTTTTTATTATAAGCACACATCATCAAGCATAGAACCTGATGAATTGCTATGGGTGTTGGTATGTGATATAGTTTTATAGTTCTTGGTATAGGATTATAAGCACACATCATCAAGCATAGAACCTGATGAATTGCTATGGGTGTTGGTATGTGATATAGTTTTATAGTTCTTGGTATAGGATTCTGACTTTGTTCTTTAAAATTGCCTTGACTGTTCTTGACTTTTTAAATTGTCATATAAATTGCAGACTTAGCTTTTCAATTTTTACAGAAGAAACTGGGTGAGAGTTTCATACTTTGTGGAATCTATAGATATTTGAGAAGTAAAATCATATAATAATATTGTCTTAAAATCCATAAACAAGGTATATCCCATTTATTTAGTCCTTTTATTTCTCTCAAACTTTTTTTTTAAAGTAAACTCTTCCCCCAATGGGGGGGCTTGAACTCATGGCCCCAAGATCAAGAGTTGCATGCCCTGGGATGCCTGGGTGGCTCAGTTGGTTAAGTGTCTGCCTTAGGCTCAGTTTATGATCCCAGGGGCCTGGGATCAAGTCCCGCATTGGGCTCCCTGCTCAGCGGGGAGTCTGCTTCTCCCTCTCCTGCTCCCCCTGCTTGTGCTCTCTGTCTCTCTCTCTCTGACAAATAAATAAATAAAATCTTAAAAAAAAAAAAAAAAGTTGCATGCCCTACAGGCTGAGCCAGCCAGGTAACCCTTCTCTTAAACTTTTGAAGTTTTCAGTGTGTGATCTTGCATGTTTCATTTGATTTTTTTCCCCCCTAGGAATTTGATTTTTTTTGATATTATTATAAAAGGTATCACTTAAAAAAAATGGATTGTTGGTATACAGAAATTCAATTGATCTATATTGAATTTTTCAAACATTAATTCTAATGTTTAATGTGTATGCTTTTTGCTTTTCTATCTGCAAATAATGATAGTTTTGTTTTTCCCTTTCCTATTCTTTTATTTATTATTATTATTTTTTTTAATTTTAATTTTTATTATTTTTGCCTTCCTGCACTGGCCAGGACGTCCAGCACAATGTTGAAATAGGTGATAGTGGGCACCCTTATCTTGTTCCCAATCTCAGGGAGAACACTTTCAATAGTTTATTATGAGGTATGATGTTATGTGTAGGTTTTCTTTGTTTTTTTAAATTTTTTTAATTGTTTGACAGAGAGAGCACAAGCAGGGGGAACGGCAGGCAGTCGGAGAGGGAGAAGCAGGCTTCCCACCAAGTAGGGAGCCTGATGCGGGGCTCGATCCCAGGACCCTGGGATCATGACCTGGGCCGAAGGCAGACGCTTAACTGAGCCACCCAGGTGCCCCATAGGTTTTCTTTGGATACTCTGTCAGATTAAGGAAGGTTCTGCTTTTAAACTTACGTATGTATGTATTTTCAAGTGATCTTTACACCCAGTGTAGGGCTCGAACTCACAACCCTGAGATGAAGAGTCGCACGCTCTATGGACTGAGCCAGCTAGGGGCTCCAAGGAAGTTTTCATTTTATTCTTAGTTTGCAGATGTTTTCATCATACATGAGTATTAAATTTTATCATGTGCTTTTTTTTTTTTTTAAGATTTTGTTTATTTATTTGACAGAGACACAGTGAGAGAGAGGTAACACAAGCAGGGGGAGTGGGAGAGGGAGAAGCAGGGTTCCCGCTGAGCAGAGAGCCCGATGTGGGGCTCGATCCCAGGACTCTGGGACCATGACCTGAGCTGAAGGCAGATGCTTAACGACTGAGCCACTCAGGCACCCCAAAAGTTGCAAATTTTGAGTGGATTTGAACTAATACTGCTAATCATCTGTTTGCTTTTTAAATGTACCATTTGTGCTCAGATATAAAAAAGAACTTGAAATTCTTGACTTAAGCTCTTGAAAAGTCCCAAAAGTCCCTTTTAGAAAATATTGTAGAAATCTCTACTTAACCTCTCACTTCCTCTAATTAAGGTTGTGCTTTTTTTAGCCATAGCATTCAAGTTTGAATTCTAACCTGAATGCTTTAAACAATTTCTAATGCATGTTGTGTTAAGAAACCTTTAAAATTAACATTTAAAATTAATTTTTATAAGTTGGATATTTACCATAATGTGTAACTTATGGTAGCCTTATATTTGTATATTACACTTGGGAACATTATTAAAGACCTTTTATATGTTATATGTCATTGCTGGAGGAGGGCACTGTTTCTGTCTTCAGAGACAGTTTATTAGACATAGGAGAGATTGTGTGTGTGTATACACACACATTTGCAATGATTGCAGGACAAGCATACTTTGAGATATAATAGGTATCAAACATTGTGTGGAATTACTGGAGATTGAATAACACTTCTGGATCAAGAAAGACATAATGTTATAGGAATTATAGCATTCCTTTTTGTTTAAGTCTGGAATTAAAATTATAGACATGTTAGGCAAAATTGTATTTAAAAGTTTTTTTATGTTAAAAAGTAGATATTTTCTTTTAATTAGTATTTAATTATTTTAAGCTGTCTGCTGTTTATTCGTTAAATGTATGTAATCGCTTTTTTCCCTCATTTTTTCTTTCCTTTTTTTTTTTTTTTTTTTGGCAGCTTTTCACAGATGGAATCACAAATAAACTTATTGGCTGTTATGTGAGTAATACAATGGAGGATGTAGTCCTGGTGCGAATTTATGGCAATAAGACTGAGTTGTTAGTTGATCGAGATGAGGAAGTGAAGAGTTTCCGAGTGTTGCAGGCTCATGGCTGTGCACCGCAACTCTACTGTACCTTCAATAATGGACTGTGCTATGAATTTATACAGGGAGAAGCATTGGATCCAAAGCATGTCTGCAACCCTGCTATTTTCAGGTACATTTCTTTTTTTAATAATTTTTCTTTTTGAAAAATAAGAGTATTAAGTGCGCTAAGGAAATTATTTTTTAAAACTGCCTTTTCTTTCTTTGAGCAACTATTTGGTTACCTTAGAAACTTTATTTAGTTAGGGTTCTGTTTTGTTTTTGCTGAAGAAAAAAATCCTTTCTGTCTGCCGTCTCATTGTTGACTCTGCAAAAAAAAGGACTATGAGATGTGGTTTTGGATTAGTCTGCTGCAGAGTATCAAAGCTTCACTTTAATTATTTATTTATTTTACTTTATTTTATTTTTTAAAATTTAAATTCAATTAATTAACATATAGTGTATTATTAGTTTCAGAGGTAGAGGTCAGTGATGCATCAGTTGTATATAACACCCAGTACTCATTACATCATATGCCCTCCTAACGCCCATCACCCAGTGACCCCATCCCCTACCCGCCTCCCCTCCAGCAACCCTGTTTGTTTCCTGTTATTAAGTTGTCTCTTGTGGTTTGTCTCCCTCTCTGATTTCGTCTTGTTTTATTTTTCCCTCCCTTCCCCTATGCTCCTCTGTTTTGTTTCTTAAATTCCACATATGAATGAGATCATATGATAATTGTCTTTCTCTGATTGGCTTTTTTTGCTTAGCATAATACCCTTTAGTTCCATCCACGTCGTTAGAAATGGCAAGATTTCATTTTTTTTTAAAGATTTTTAATTTATTTATTTGACAGAGAGAGAACACAAGCAGGGGGAGAGGCAGAGGGAGAAGCAGGCTCCCCACTGAGCAAGGAGCCTGACACGGGGCTCAATCCCAGGACCCTGATGAGATCATGACCTGAGCCAAAGGCAGTTGCTCAACCCACTGAGTCGCCCAGGCGTCCTTTATTTATTTATTTTTGATGGCTGAGTAATATTCTATTGTGTGTGTGTGTGTGTGTGTGTGTGTGTGTGTGTGTGTATATATATATATACACACACCACATCTTCTTTATCCATTCATCTGTCGATGGACATCTTGGCTCTTTCCATAGCTTGGCTATTGTGGACATTGCCACTATAAACATTGGAGTGCAGAGATCCCTTCGGATCTCTACATTTGTATCTTTGGGATAAATACCAAGTAGTGCAATTGCTAGGATGTAGGGTAGCTCTATTTTTACCTTTTTGAGAAACCTCAATACTGTTTTCCAGAGTGGCTGCACCAATTTGATTCCCACCAGCAGTGTAAGAGAGTTCCTCTTTCTCTGCATCCTCGCCAACATTTGTTGTTTCCTGACTTGTTAATTTTAGCCATTCTGACTGGTGTGAAGTGGTCCCCTTAATTTTTTTAAAGTAGTGCTTGGATTACAGCATTTTACATTTTTTTTTTTAAAGATTTTATTTATTTATTTGACAGAGAGAGAGAGCGAGAGCAGGAACATAAGCAGGGAGAGAGTGGGAGAAGCAGGCTTCCCGCCGAGCAGGGAGCCCGATGCGGGTCTCAGTCCCAGGACCCTGGGATCATGACCTGAGCTGAAGGCAGAGGCTTAACCGACTGAGCCACCCAGGGGCCCCAAAGCATTATACATTTCTTATCACTAACTTTTGTAATTCAGTTGCTCATATTTTCAGAGTTTTTGCTTACTAAGATTCTTTTTTTTTTAAGATTTTATTTATTTGACAGAGCTCACAAGCAGGGGCACAGTAGGCAGAGGAAGAGGAAGAAGCAGGCTCCTGGCTGAGCAGGGAGCCCGATGCGGGCCTTGATCCCAGGACCTGGGATCATGACCTGAGCCAAAGGCAGACGCTTAACGACTGAGCACCCAGGCGCCCCTCTTTTTTAATTCTGTTAACACTGTTACTTTTTAAACTTTTTATTTAATTCGCTGTATTATGTTACTTTTTAACTTTAATTCAGTATGTTTTCTGTAAGAGTAATTTCTTGCATATGCTAGATCATTTTTCCAAAATTACTGTCTTTTACAGTTCTTTTTCTGCTCTTAAAAACTAGCGAATGAGCTTGATTTGAAAAATGCAAATTCATTCATAGTTTAAAACAGAAGTTCTCAAACATTTTGTTCTCAGGACCCCTTTAGAACTCTTAAAGGTTACTGAGGACCTAAAGAGTTTTTGTGAGTTATAGCTATCAATATTTACCATGTCAGAAATTAAAACAACTTTTTTTGAATACAAGAATATCAGGCACACATTGTTAGCTCTCAGGGTGATAATGTTATCACACCACTTCATGTAGCTTCTTGAAAACTACACCGTGTACTCATGAGAGAATGAGAGTGAAAAAGGGAAATATCATCTTATGAGAGTAGTTTTTAACTTCATAAACCTGAAAGGGTTTGAGTCTCTAGGGATCCTGGATCATATATATTTTTTTAGATTTTATTTATTTACTTGAGAGAGAGAGAGCGAGTATGTGAGTGTGAGTGCGAGCATGAGCAGGGGGAGGGGCAGAGGGCTAGGAAGAGAGAAGCAGACTTCCCACTGAGCAGGGAGCCTGATGCAGGGGTCCATCCCAGGCTCCCAGGATCCCAGGGAGCCGAAGGCAGTTGCTTAACAGACTGAGCCACCCAGGACCCAGGTCCCCCTTCTTTTTTCTTTTTTTCTTTTTTTTAAATTTTATTTATTTATTGGAGAGAGAGCCTGGACCATATTTTAAGAGTTGCTTCATTAACACTGGTGAGAATGGAATGGCCTAGTATTTACCTATTTTAAACTGGTTTCAAATAATATTTAAAAATATTTTGGCATAGAAATCTATCTACTTAAACCCCAGTTTTTAACCAGATAGTCTTTTCCCTTATGTGAGTGTACAGTTTAGAATGTATTGAAGGATGCTAATTAACAGATAATACGTTTTTTCTTTTGTGTCACATTTTTTGTGGTCTTTAGGTTTGTGTGTGTGTGTATCAGATTTATTTATAAATCCTCAATCTTTTTTTTTTTAAATAATTTTATTTATTTGAGAGAGAGAGTGAGAGAGAGAGCCCGTGAGCAGGGGCAGAGGGAGAGGGAACAGCAGACTCCCCTGCTGAGCAGGGAGCCCCACATGGGGCCCGATCCCAGGATCCTGGGATCATAACCTTAGTGGAAGGCAGATACTTAACTGACTGATACACCCAGGTGTCCCTGTAAATCCTGTCTTGTTCACCATGTTTGAGATACATCTATATAACAGGATTAAAAGGGATTAGATGCATAAATTAGGCCAAAGGAAAAGCTGGAGTTAGATTCAGATACAAAAAGTATATTCCATAAGGTTCTTAGAGAAGGGCCATATGAGCTTCCTAGTATAACTAAAGCAGGGAGAAAAATATCAGTTTTAAGAGTCAGTGTCCAAAGGATTTAAGAAGAAAGTTGCCTAAGGGTAATACCACTTTTACTGGTGTAGCAGTCTTAACTGCCTTTGTAAAACACATACTTTTATGCATTTGACGTTGATATTCCTAAACTGTCTTTAACACACCGAATTTAAACTTTCAGTTGAACAATTGGCAGTGGTTATTGCTGGTCAGAAGTTCATATTCAGATTTCTCCCTTCTATTTACTCTATAGTCTCATGATGGAAACTGAATGCCTAGAGGGCAGTTTTTTTTCCTCTTTGATTGTGAAAAGTTATGGAATCTAAAACCATGTGAAATTCTATATATGGCATTATATCTCTGTCGCTCAGGATACACCGTGGAAACCAGACTGCTTCAGATTTATGGGCTGTGTGAATTTGGCCATAGTACTTAAACATTTTGTGCCTGAGTTTCCTTATCTAAAAAATGAGAATAATAGTACCTACTTCTAGGGTTGTTGTAAGGATTAGAGTTGTTAGTATACGTAAAAAGTTTAGAACAGTGCCTGGCATATGTTAAACACTATGTAACTGTTAGGTTTTATAATTATTATAATTTTTTTTTTTTCCTCAAGACTTCTCACATTTTATCTGATTTAGGCAGATCTTCTGATAACTTGGACATTAATTAAAGTATTACAGTGTTTAGGCAAACTATGGATATTACAAATTAGTTGACTTTATTATGCCTTTATTTTATTATTTATTTAAAGATTTTATTTTTTTGAGCCAGCAAGGGAGAGAGTGCGTGTGAGCATGAGCATGGGGAGAGGGAGAAGCAAACTCCCTACTGAGCAGGGAGTTTGATGTGGGATTCCATCCCAGGAACCTGGGATCATGACCTGAGCCGAAGGCAGACGCTTACCCCACTGAGCCACCCAGGCATCCGTTATTGTGCTTTTAGAAACATATTTTCTGAATTCTAAAATTCATAGATTTTTTTGCTCTCATGTACTATTTATTATAACATGTAGTGTAGTATTCCTTAAAGTGTACGCAAGCAGCATGTAGATGTGGCATAGCAAGTAATTATTGCCACCACTAAACCCTCCTTGTTTGTGACAGACAAAACTAACCAGTCTTGGAGCTCTTTACTTCTGAACATAGATGAGATTTCAGAGTCTTTCTCAACTAAGTGATTTTAGGTAATTACTACCCAGGAGTAGTCCCTTGTTTTGGTTTTTATTTTAACTTCCTCTAAGAGACCATTTTATATTAAAAAGTCAAGATTTTAGGGGCGCCTGGGTGGCTCAGTTGGTTAAGCATCCAGCTCTTGGTTTCAGCTCAGGTCATGATCTCATGGGTTGTGGGATCGAGCCCTGCATTGGGCTCCACATCAGTGGGGAGTCTGCTTGAAGACTTTCTCCCTCTGCCCTCCCCCTAGCTCGCATGCTTGTTCTCTCTCAAATAAATAAGTCTTAAAAAAAAAAGTTGGGGCGCCTGGGTGGCTCAGTTAAGTGGCTGCCTCCAGCTCAGGTCATGATGCCAGGGTCCTGGGATCAAGCCTGGCATCAGGCTCCCTGCTCAGCGGGAAGTCTGCTTCTCCCTCTCCCCCTGGCTTGTGCTCTATATCGCTCGCTCCCTCTCAAATACATAAAATCTTGAAAAAAAAAAGTTGCATACTTTTATAAAAAAAAATTTAAAAAGTCAAGACTTTATTTTTAGTTGATACTA